AATATTTGGACGAAGAAGGCAATGACGCTGATGTCAATCTTACCCTTGCACACTTTACGAACAAGGGGGATAATGTGCACTCAATGGATACACCTGATTTTGATTGATACACTCTATTCATTCTCTCCATGCATGATGTTTTTAGAATAATTTTTTTTATGTCTCTGCCGATTTCCTAAGAGTGTTTTGAAGACTATTTATTGCATTTTTAGACTATGTGGAATTGTTTTATATTTGCCTTCAATTTAAATAAATTAAAGGATTTATGCACCTATTTTTATGCATTGTGTGTTCCAGTTCTATATGCAATTCTCTCATTACACAGGCATGAATCGAGGTGAACTTGAGTGCTTAATAGATAGTGGGACTACCCATACCATTTTGCGAAATAGGCAACTATTTGTTAACTTGGTAGCCTATAATTCATCCGTGACAACAATGATTGGTTCGTCACATGTAATTCAAGGATGTGGCACTGCCATTTTCTTACTCCCTAATGGTACATTGATTAAAGCCATAAATGCTCTATATGCACCTAGAGCTACTCGAACCTTGTTAAGTTTCAAAGACATCCGTGACAATGGTTTCCATGTTGAAACTCTTGTGAAAATGGTATTGAATACCTTTACATTACTTCTAATGAATGCGGAAGAAAGCGCATCTTAGAGAAGTTTAAGGGTAAGAGTAGTGGATTGTATATCACTACAATTCGAATAATTGAATCTTATTCTATAAGTCATGATGACATAAGGGATACTGAACGATATAGACTTTGGCATGATCGACTAGGACATCCTGGTCGTGACATGATGATTCGTATCCTAAAAAACTCTCACGGTCATCCTTTCTTAAGAGGCAAGAACAAAGCGACACAAAAACCCGATAGCTTGAAAAGCGGTCGGCCCAATCTTGCTCAACTCCGACGAATGCCTTCTAAAGAAATTGAAGCACCATCCTCGTCTCAAAATAATTTTTTTACAATGTCACATGCCCACAAATCCTTTTGTAAAGCCTGCTCATTAGCAAAAATAGGATCACGACCATCCTATGCTAAAGATTCAAAAGAAAATATACCATTCCTACAACGGATACAAGGAGATATATGTGGGCCGATACAACCAGAAAGCGGACCATTTCGGTATTTTATGGTACTGGTTGATGCCTCGACACGTTGGTCACACGTTACATTATTATCAACAAGAAATGCTGCATTTGCAAAACTCTTGGCACAAATAATTCGTTTAAGGGCTCACCACCCGGACCACCCGATCAAGTCTATAAGACTTGACAATGCTGCAGAGTTTACATCTAAGAACTTTGATGATTATTGCATGGCCATCGGGATCGATGTAGAGCATTCTGTTCCCCATGTACACACG